GATAGATTTGGGAGAGAACTTCAGTAAAAGCATTCTCCACATTCAATGATTCCAGAGCTGATGTCTCCATGAAGAAGGTGTTCTCCCTCTCGGCAAAGGCCTTTGCATCTTCTGTTGAAACTGCCCTGAGATGGCGAAGATCTGCCTTGTTTCCGACAAGCATGATGACGATGTTGGAGTCGGTGTGATCCCTAAGTTCCTTGAGCCATCTTTCCACGTTTTCAAATGTTACGTGACGAGTGACATCATAGACAAGAAGTGCACCAACAGCCCCTCGATAGTATGCACTTGTAATTGCACGGTATCTAAAGAAGAAGAAATCATTATTAAAACCTCATAATGGCCAGCGCGCGAAGGGGTGGGGTGGGGGGTCAACATCTCTAGATACTTGGAGCCATGATCAGGATCTAACAGAATGCAAAGAGAAAGACGGAAGTAGGTAAAACCAACATCGAATATTTTAATCACCCAAAAATACTTTGCTACCATACAATTACCACAATGACCCATCTTGATAACATTTGTTTTAGTAATGACAATTTTTGGGGTTATCTTCAATTGTAAAGAACTGTGTCTGTGACTCCTTAGAGGGAAGACATTCAGAGAAGTTCAAATTGGTCATAAATTTAAGAATTATCAAATAAAATAAAGATAATTCAAATTTTCAACTCCTAATTTAGGTATGTTAGCAGAAGAAGTTGCCATTAGAAAGCATATAAGCAATTAAGCTCGAACATAGCATTATTTGATTGACAATTGAAATATGATGATCTTCCATAGAAAAGGCTAGAAGAATGGCCACTAGGTAAGGGGGAAGAATGCATTTTATCTCTTTCATCCCAAAAGAACATAGAGAGAAAAGACTACACCAACGAGTCATGCTGAGTTAAAGAATAATGATATCTAGTTATATACTGAATGTCAAACAATATTACTTGTTCAGTGAGAAGTAAATCACTGTCTTGATGAAGATGAGGTACATGAGAAAGAAATCTCGTTGTCCCTTCTTTTAAAATAAGAATTGTTGGCATATAATCAAGACAGAAAAAAAAACTAATTTTTCCTCTGGGATGCTTGCTTTAGAAGATAATATGCTTCTACCAGAAGCAGAATAAGAATTATCATGGACATGGACACATGCATATATGATGCAACATGCTGATATGTGAATAATTCTAAAACTAGACATGTGCCTCGACATTCGTCTCATAACTGAGTAGTTAGGGTTTTCTAAACTACAAATATCTAATACATGCATAACATACAGAGGAGGAAGGCCCTTCTTTCTTGCCAACTGTACTATGTTTTAGGTAAACCCTCACTTCTTAACGATTTTTTCTGTCAGACAGTTGCCATCGAAATTCGAAGATAGATGATAGCTATATAGGTGGGTGAAAAAATTTATCGAGATTTCCTTTGAGCCTGAGCTGCATTTAGTAGCAGATAATTCTGATGTGAAAATGCTAATATGGTGACGTCCCATGATATTGTCAGTTGCCAACAGAAAAATAACAGCCCAAGTGTATTTCCCTCACACAGTATAGATAACAAGTGAATATTGTTCTCTCAGATTGCTCTTATATGGGAACTAAGTGAGTTTATTTTGTGCCAACAAAAAAATAAACACAATGATCAATTTCTGCAGGAAATCTGCATGGTATAGCTAGCTTACTTCAACATATAATACAAAGGAGAGAATTTTAAGCAACTATAAAACTGTAACCAGAAAGCTGAAAGTTTTAAACAATGTTTGTCTGTGGTCTCGACTCTCGACTCATCTTAGCAGCTTCACAAAGAGCTACCAAATTTTCTGAATCGTCGATAAAAATGCCACATCACATACATCCATAAGAAGTGCTAAATCCAAACTCCAAATGCAATACTTGATCATCCAATTTATAACAACACTTCTCTCATGATGTCACCTTGGTCCCCCATATTGGTTAGACAAATTCTATAAGCAATTCCATATGCATAGGAATCTGGATAAGATATATCCAGCTTGCTAAGAAGCATTTGAAGGTGCACCCCCTTGAACATTACAATTAAAGATGGCTCCTCATTAAATGCCATGATCCCACCGTGTCGAAATTCCGAACACAAACTACATGTTCATAAGGTTACCAGCATATCTGAGTTCAGATATCAAACCTGATATGCGTTCCGACATGGATCTGAAGTTAACATTGGACCGAAAAACATCCATGGGTCCAGTCGGGATTTGCGGATTGGCACCCTTCGTTGCCACCTATTATCCATTATTCAGAATCAAAGCAACAATTGCGTAGGAGGTTCTTCGGTAATAGTAAAATGTTCTATGCCCACCAAACCTAGAGCCCACTACTTCGGCGAAACCCATCATCTTACAACAATAAATTTCGCTTCTTGGACCAAAACCCTAGAAAACGCAATCCTATCGTGAAGTTCATTACGCGTTCCAACTTTAATCAACAAAAATTGACGTTCTAACGAAGAAACGGCAAAGATCTTTAAAAAGCAAAGTGAAGAAAACTAGGGATCAGATCTAGAACTTTCGCGATACCTCTCCTGGCCAGCTGTATCCCAAATCTGAGCCTTGACGACCTTATCATCGACGTGAATACTCCTCGTAGCGAACTCAACGCCGATGGTGGATTTGGACTCGAGACTGAACTCGTTCCTCGTGAATCGAGACAAGAGGTTGGATTTCCCAACGCCGGAGTCTCCGATCAACACGACCTTGAAGAGGTAGTCGTAATCGTCGTCCGCTCTGTACGCCATCGCTAACGCTTATCCCGACCGCCGGTGACGGGATCCAATCTTATTACTTTCTCTCTCTATCGCGCTGAATAGAGAGAGAAAAGCGCGAAGGGTGGGAAGAGAGAATTTTGCTTCTTGATCTGTCTGTTTGAGGTGGATGAAATCGGAAACGGATCTCGGGGAGCGGTGTGGTGGTCCGCGGGGGTGACAGGATGCGAGTTGTCAGCTGGTCCGCGTGAATGGCCTTTTTGAGGGAGCGGTGGAGATTGTTTGGAGGCGCACCGCAGAATCTGACCTTAATTTACGACCGCTCGTGACCATTTTTATTTTTTAAACATGCGATTTTTCTAATTAAAAAATAAAACTGCATTTTTATGGATAACATGTTAACTCTTGTGGCTATATGTTAACTCTTGTGGCAAACATGTTAACTATTGTGTATAACATGTTAACTCTTGTGACAAACATGAATTATAGTTAACAGACAGTTTATGAATAACAGTGAACAGATAATTCACCGAGTTCTTTTCTTAGGCTTTCGACGGTGGGTTCCGTGGATTTTGATGACTCGTTTTGATTTCAGGGCGGCTGCGACGGCGGTGTCTGCGACGGTGGGTTCCGTGGATTTTGATGACTCGTTTTGATGACTCGTTTTGATGTATATCAAAATCAAGAAAGAAGTAATAAACTCAGGGTGTGGTATATATAAATGT